AGAAGAGCGAAGGTTGCGAGGTGGGGAGGAGGGTGATAATAGTTCAGACAGGTACTGAGGTGCCAAGCCATGCAGAGCCTTACAGGTGAGCATGAGGATTTTAAAGTCTACATGGAATTTGACCGGAAGCCAGTGCAAGGACTCCAGGATAGGAGTAATGTGAACACTTGCACTAAACCTGGTCAGGATTCTGGCTGCTGAATTTTGGACATACTGCAGTTTGTTCAGAGTAGATTTAGATACCCCAGCGAGTAGAGCATTACAGTAGTCAATTCGAGATGATATGCTATATGATATTAGCATTGTGGTTCCCCTTTAACTACCTTTATTACTTATCCTGTAAAGCACTTTGAGAGCATACTTTTAAAGGCGCTATATAAAACAGGTTTATTATCATTGTGGATGAGACAGTTACAGTGCCTTTTCCACCTGTGTCTGTTCGCCATCACTTGTTAAGTTAGTAAAAGCCGTTTAGTCAGAAATAACAGCCAGCACGCTGAAGACAGGCAGCATAAAGTTCTGTGTGCCGACACTGGAAACCGTATCCTTGAATATATCTGAGTATATCTGACACTCAGAATGTCAAATGGCTTTTGAGTCATTTGAAAAGTCATTTGAGAAAAGGAGTTAAGTAGAATTCTAAGTATAAAAGCAGATCCATTAACTCATCTGTTAGCACTGAAGATATAGAGCTTAGCTGGATTGAAATCCAGCAGAGACAGTGAAGCACTGACTTGCAGTACAGCCTGCTGCACCACTGATTAAGTCTGGCTTCTGTCCCTGTTGCTGCTGCTCATTGTTTCCCCACTAGATGGCGATGACAACCTATCTTACAGGAAGCCTGCCTTTTGCCTGAGAAGAGCAGACAGTTTTAGAGAGGGATGTGAGGCTCTGGAAAAAAAAAATGCTGTTCATGCATTGCAAAGGCATATTAAATTGATAATACATTGCTTCCTGGAATGTGCTGCATGAAGGATGAGTATAATTAAGCAGAAAACAAATAAGCTTGCAGAACTGGCAAACGTGAAGGATGCGCTGAGGCATGTGGCATCTTGAATTGATCTCGGTGGGGTGGGGGTGTGATGGAGCAGAGCCAGCTGATGCCACGGCTTGCATGATGCCCACTCCAGAGGGCACCCTGGGACGGCGGCAGCTCGATCCGAGCCCCCACCCCTTGTTTAAGCCCCGAAAAACGCCGGAGCCCCGAGGCCCACACCTTGCAGCCGTTTTCACTGAAGTTATCTCGATCTGAACGCCCAGCAGAAGCAGTGGGACCCGTCTATATTGTGTTTCTCCTCTGAGCTCTGCCAGTAACCCGATCCATAACAGACCACGTCTCCTACAGACACTGTAACAGCAGACGCGGCTCGTCCAGCACATACTCAATTACCGGGTGTTTTCTTCTGGATTAGTGTTCGCTGTGACAATTGCCTTCTCAGACGTGACGATCAGTGGTTCTCCGAGTGGCGCAGACCTAGCTCACACCCCACCCCCGAGAAATTATTTCCCTCCCCGGTTGTGAGTTGGACCTCCC